AGTAATTAATGTGCGTTATTGTGCAGTAATTAATGCGTGTTAATTGTCTAAATCATTTCCTTATATAACATGGGAATAAAATAACACATTAAAACAAGACAACATCTTCATAATATATGACAAACAAATTGAGGTTCGTTTAAGCTGACCAATATATAGTAAGAATATACTCCGTTTCAATTTTAATGTTAGATGCACTTGATAACTCCATAATTCCCCAACAAACACATAAATCATGTTGTCTTGGGTCAAAGATTTCAAGTTTAATAAACACACACCTTCATCTAATTTGCCCAACTCCTGCCTCATGTATATCAAGTCTTGTCAGAAATATATGTGCCTGTAATCGAGCCAGCGGACACTGCTGTATATTGACATGGGTAGACGTATGGTGACATCTGCCAGAATGTTTGAACAGACACTGCGAGATAAGGTTCCGATGATAGGGGATGTCTTAACCCAATGTGTCCATTGAAACTATTTGTCAATAACTAGCTTAGTTATCGAACAGATTGCAGTGATATTTCAGATTTTGGTTTAACCATGTTTTGTAGTGGCAGCATGTAGAAAGTAATGGATTAAGGTAAAGGAATGTAAAGTCATACTGCACATCATTTGAAAAGTTAGAGATGTCGGAAATTTCTTTTTTTTTCGATAAAACGACACGTTTTAAAAATAGTAAGTAATTGTCTGCATTTCTTTTTAAAAACATATGCCAGATAGTACATTAGTATAGTATTAGTATTGTTTGACTGATGGGAAGAACAGGGAAGGAAGAAGAAGAAGGAACATCGTGATTTTGACCTTACTTAGCTTTAGGTTTTTTTAGTAATTTATCTAGAGAAATTGTCAGGTAAAATATCACTTCCCCTTACTAGAAAACAACAAGTCACGACTTAGACTGCGTAGATCCCTTTCCGAAATGATCACAATACACCAGGGGTGGAAATAACCCATTGCCCAACGTGCGAGTCCAGTGTTTTTTTTCTGCCGGGCAAGCGAATTTGTATATCACACTGTACCGGTGTCCAGTTGACTTTCCAATGTTAATTATGTTGTTTATTTAACAAATCAGCAAGAAAACGGTCGGTATAGTGGAAAATTATCAGGGCAAGTGACTTTACATGTGCCACTGTACCGGAGTACACTATCAATTTTAAAGTTATTTCCACCCATGTACACACACTTATAGCTCGGCATGTATTTTCCTGTTGGGTATTTGATGCAATCCTAGCACAGATCTCGCAGCAAACGAGATGAACAATTTGAGTTTACAAATGATATGATCAGACCATATGGTAAATATACCCTTCTACCAAGCACACTTTTCAATTTCTCGCATTCGTTCCAGGAAGGAAAGATTGGGTGAGACCTACGACTTGTTGTTTATACCAGTACGTTCCTGACGTAGTCAGAATGATACGGCGGAGACAACAGAGATTTCTTGTTAAAATGTGTGAAGGCGTTTGACGTTCCCGATCAAATAATTATTGTTAAACGAAAATTCTGCATCATCAAGCCGTTTTGTCTTCCTTTTATGAATCATATCCGAATGATGGTCAGTTTCAAATGCAAAATACAGGTTTCAAATCTCTGAACAGCAGCTTTTTGTATTTCATGTCTTATTCTAGTTTTACCTCTTGGTAGTTTCATTTACTGTAACACTTGTTGGAGATCTAACTCATATAAGACGGGATGAAGGTCCATAAGTAACACGTGTAGGTACAAAGGTCAACGCTTTACCAACATTTCTTCGTCAAACATTCGTTCAAGATTCGATTCTGTGTACTGTACCGTAAATTAGCAATGCTGATGTGGTATTTATCAATCATCAGATATAGAACAGAGGAAAATGCATGTAAACACATTAAGGAAGATGGAAGTAAATAAATTATCATTATTGGGGCCAGCCAAGGCTGCCTATTTCCCTGAACTATACTGGAATGAGGAAAAAAGCCCACAAAGGCCCCAGCAGTGGCGACCTTGTAGCAACAATACTCATGATGTAAAGTCATGCACAAATGTTGAAATACCCAAAACTGTTCTTCATATATATTGTGCATCGAAGACAGGTCAAATGCCCATCAAAGAATGCCATTCGCAGTTTGAAGACTGTAACTGTGAAAGAGCACTGATCAAACCCTAATGAAGGTAAAGGCATTCTCATTTCAAGGTTTGGAGATGTCCGTTTGGTCAGGTGGATACTTGACCTGCCTTTGTAAGTGTTTGTGATGGATGTCGCCAATGAGGCAGGATACGCTTACCTCTACGCGAAACACTTCGTATCGTTACTGAGTCATTTTCTTTAAGAAACAACGCATGTACATCGGTTGTATATCGCCTGTCGCTTTGTGTGAATATTGTGGCATTTGAGCATTTGGGCTTTGCGATACCAAGTAAGGTTTGTTTTGGTTTGTTGTTTAACGCCGTGCTCAGCAATATTCCAGCTATATGGCGGCGATCTGTAAAAATCGAGTCTGAAAAAGACAATCAAGTGATCAACATGATGAGCGTCTACGTGACTGGGATACGATGGGTCGTGTCAACCACGTCACCGAGCCTGACACCCGATCTTACGACAATCATGGGTTACTGCAGACCAATTCTAACCCGGGTCTACACGGGTAACATAGTCAGGGCAATGCCGTAGTGATAGTGTGTGTTTTATTGGTTTTGATTCTGTTACAAATGATGGGTTTAAACCCATGTTTGTTGGTGGAGAGAATTGAAAAACAAATTTTCGTGCAATGTCAAGGTTTCTTGATACCGGTGCCACTGCTGTTTGCAGTGTTTTAGCTACTATTTTCAGCCCAGTAACACGTGTAAGTGAGTGAGTTTGGTTTTACACCACTTTTACAAATATTCCAGCAATATCACGGCGGGGGACACCAGAAATGGGCTTCACAGATTGTACCAATGTTGGGAATCGAACCCGCGTGCAATCTTACAGAAGTGTATATGTAACTGTCTTTACTATCCGGTATTTACTATACTTGTAGCACGGTTTGACCTGAATTGTTCCTTTGATGGGAGAACTGGGATGGGGTTTGTGATCATAATTGACATGAACTGGCGTCGAACACATGATCAGTAAATGTTTCTGATGTAGTCAAAGAACGCTGGTTTGTACCGCAAACTGCGCCACCGTCGACCACTGTATCGCCCAGACACTCTGTCACCCGAAACAGACCCTAACTTAATCCATATAAACGTCATCTTGAGATATTAACTTTCATAATCTCTTTCAGTTTGACACAAAGTCTTTCACGCCAAAACATGAATAAATTGTTTTATCGCCAAACTGACAGACATCTCTAACACATTAAAATATCTTGACATTAATTTTATCAACTGGTCACAAGCTGGTGAGATAAGCTTCGTAATCTACCGTTATCATTACCGTGAATCAGGCTTTTGTCTGCCGTAGAGAGAACATGGATACGGCATGGAGTTTAGGGTCGGGGGCATGGGAAGGGGTTTTGGGGATGATGGCATGGCATGGGGTTTAGGGTCGGGGGCATGGGAAGGGTTTGGGGGTTGATGGCAGGGCATGGGGTTTAGGGTCGGGGGCTTGGGAAGGGGTTTGGGGTTGATGGCATGGCATGGGGTTAGGATCAGGGGCATGGCAAGGGGTTTGGGGGTTGAGGGCATGGCATGGTGTTTCGGGGAGGGGACATGGGAAGGGGTTTTGGGGTTGATGACATGCATGGAGTTTAGGGTCGAGGGTCAAGGAACGGGGTTTGGGGTTAAGATCATAGGGTTAAGGGGCATGGAGTGGGGTTTGGGGTTTGATGGCATGGCATGGGTTTAGGGTCAGGGGCATGGGAATTTTGGGGGTTCATGTTCATGTCATGGCATGGGTTTTGTCTTGTATAGTGAGGTTCGAGGTTCAGGGTCTGTGTACTTGTGTTGCAGAGACACATTGTTTTGTTAGAAATATTGATTTAGGAAACATCAATACTATCTATGATTCAAATACGTGCATTATGTCAATACTACATGACACTTATCCTTTGCAATGAAGGTAGGACAGGCGCAGATACTCGTCAGATCCTCAGGTGCTCATATAAGCCACAGTACGGCGACTATACTCATTTTACCCTCGTACATGTATATTCATTAAGACCCCAGATATCCTTTAACTATCAAGGAAATGCTTGTTTACCACACAAGTACTTATTTATACATCAGTGCGATAAATATATAAATATACCCAACTTAACCTCATTGCCTTAAAAATAGTCATTTTAACCTCATCGCCTGGAAAATATCCATTTCAACCTCATCGCCCTGAAAATACCCATTTTAACTTCATTGCCTAGAAGATACCCAATTTAACCTCTTCGCCTTGAGGATACCCATTTTAACCTGTGTGGTAAAGAAACCCATTTTAACCTCAGTACGGCCATGCTATTTAATCACAAGTCATTTCGGAGAAGCTACACACCAGCAACTTCAATGCGGTGAACGTGCTCGTTTTAACCTCAGATTAAGTTTGATAATAATAAACAGTTCAGTAAAGATATGCGTACAAATAGTTGTGTGACTGTATTTCCATTTACTTCGCAGTAATCAGAATAGCACCAGGTGTTATAGCCCTGCTCTTAACAAATAGCGGCATAGCATGCCCGTGTGATTCAAGAAAACTTACACGATATCTCGCACAGCACTGCGAAGGATATCTGTAGTGTTTGGGCAACACGATCACAAATTTGTGATTTTTAATTCACAATGAGTTTTCAAAATATTTATGCTGTTTTCTTTTGGATTTTGTGTAGGTGGGGTTATTTTATTATTTTGTTGCTGTTGTTGTTGTTGTCGTCGTTTTGGGTATTTTTTCTTGTGGTGTTTTCTATATTTATAATTATTTATTTCATTATATTGTAACGTATTGCCCAAACACCGGGACTGTAGTTGCTTTGGTTTGTACATCGGTTTACCAGTCTTTACAAAGGAACCTGGTAGGACACGTGTTCTGACACTGAAGTCTCTGATTCCAGAGCCTGACACAGATGACAGCCAGGTGTTCTCAGACGACGACAGTATGATGGAGGATGAAGAGAAGCCCGGGGGTCACGAGAACAGTTGCCAGGACAACAGCATCTCACAACAACAGCAGAAGAAGACAGTGGCCCAGATCATGAGGGACAAGAAGAAGCAGACCAACTTGACCTTGCAGTGGTGAGTTCTACTCCTCTCACTCTTTAAACGATAACCTTTCTGATCGGGGTCCGGATTATAAAGGTTATATATTTCTTCTCAACGTTTACAACAGAATCTGTTTGTTATCATCATTCCTGATGAACTAGTTTCCTTCATGACGTTACTGTTAAAGATGGCACTGATGTGGTAAGATCAGGTGTGGCCATTGACAGTATCAGGTATGATGGAATCGTTACATGTCCACTTGGTAATGTGATCGGATCTGTGGTCATTTGAATACTTGTACTGCATGTGATGTTTTAAATGCAATTTGAGTTGCTGCATTAGGTGATGATGATGACCTCTGAAATTGTTACCAGAAAAAGAATCTTTTAGTTCAAAGTTAAACGTTGTGGCTCTGTTTTCTATCTAATTTACAGGTTTAAAGTGAATAAAGGCAACTGAAAGTTTAATCCTTTTACGAAGGAATTGGCAGAACACTTAAACATATAAGAAAAACACGTGCAATAATACATAACCTCTATTCACAAAATATTAGTGAGTGAGTTTAGTCTTACGCCGCACTCAGCAATATTCCAGCTAAATGGCGGCGGTCTGTAAATAATTGAGTCTGGACCAGACACTCCAGTGATCAACTGCATGAGCATCGATCTGCGCAATTGGGAACCGATGACATGTGTCAACCAAGTCAGAGAGCCTGACCACCCGATCCCGTTAGTCGCCTCTTACGACAAGCATGGGTTACTGAAGACTCATTCACAGAATATTAGTACAGTCACTAGTGTTCAATGTTCTGTTTGAAAGCTACAGTTCAGTAGCTGCCTGTGTTGTACTTGTCCTGCAAAGATGTCTCGAAATGTTGCAAACGCAAAACACAATCCCAGCACCCAGCATGGTGGTTTTGCTTTGAGGTCAAGGACATAGTGATGTATTATATAATGATGACGTCATCTCCGTTATCCTCTAAGCTTTATGATGCTAATAAGTTCAGTACCATAGTGACCATTGTTTGATATGAATAATATAATATATACAAATATATTTTCTCCCAAGCTCATGCTTCTCAGCATGGAAATTTATAAAGGTCATTTCGCAAGTCTGATCCCCTTTTGATAAAACATCACAGATGAGTCGGCTAAAAGACATACAAATAACTTGATTCAGATTGACTAATGTTATTCGTTAATATGTGTATGACATAAAGGTCTTAAAACTTTGGCTATAATTATTGTTCGAGACTTCTACTATGTAAATAATTGAGCAGAAGCTTGTCATTTCTTTCAGATATTTTCTCAAGCATAAATTATTTGTATTCCTTAATATGTGTATAGCATAAAGGTCTTAAAACTTTGTCACTTTACTTTGGTGTGACGATGAGAAGTGTTGCAGTAGTACCTAGCATCGACTGTCACAATGCTGTTGCAACATCTCTATCGCTATTGTAATATGTTGCGATATTATGATGAGCAACTTTGTCGCCTTGACTTAGTTTCATGTGATGCCAAACTCATACGGCCGTCTCCTAGGTTGCGCTGATTGTTACGGGCGTCGTCAGGGAGTCAAGGGAGATAACTGATTACTAGTTGTGTCAATGCCAACTAAATAATTGGTATTGCCATCAATGTAATTGAGCACAGGGTGGGCAAGGATGGGATAGGGGTGGTTGAGGAGCGTGGTGGGGTCGGGAGACGTCCCCAAAGTCAACGACATTCGCTGTGCGAAGTTTTATCCCTTTATGCTACAGAAGAGACAAAAAAATATTATTGTTGTTGTTATGAATCATAGATTTCACGTGCCGGTAATTGTCAACACCACATCCGTACTCGTGTGTCTGTTTGTTTTGTTTGTTATTGTTTGTTTGTTTGGGTTTATTTTAGGGTTTTGTACCGAGGACGATCCGGGTTGGAATTCATCTTCAGTAACCCATGTTTGTCGTCATAAGAGGCGACTAACGGGATTGGGTGGTCAGGCTCGCTGACTTGGTTTACACATGTCATCGTATCCCAATTGCGCAGATCGATGCCCATGCTGTTGATTACTATTGTCTGGTCGAGATTCAGTCATTTACAGACCGGTGCTATATAGCTGGAATATTGCTGAGTGCGGCGTAAAACTAAACTCACTCACTTGTACCGAGGATGCGTATTGCTACCTACTGGCTTGCGTAATTATCAAGCACTTTGTTGGTTTGGTGAATTCGATCTTGGGTGCAAGGAACCTGTGTTCGAGGGTTCGAATTCTAGATTCGCAAAGATTGTGTTTAGGTTCGTCAGTTTCATACTCGTAATGGCGGGTTTTACAAAAGTGGTTCATGTTTATAGCCTCATCAAGTTGACAGAATGTGATACTGCGTGAATACTGTTCCACTAGGGAAATAATCGAGCATCATCTTGGCAATTTTTGAAGATATCTTTTTATTTTCATAACTGAATCAAAGGTATATATGTACCTGTGCTAAAAACTATAACTCCTAATACAAAATTTGGTATTTCAATGTCGAAGAATGCTGTTGTAAAGAAACTTAATATATGTAAAATTTATATATATAGGTAAAATGAATACGAACATTCCGTCACAGTGAAATCCCGGACATCGCAGTTTAAAATGCAGTCATTTACAAAATGTAAGATTAGTGAAAAAAGAACCGCGAAATGAACTTTAATCATGTTCTACGGGAGTGTTGTGGGAGGTAAGATTTTCGGAACAACGGAATCGCTGATCTCACTGTACATTGTGATCAATAAACACCAAGATCAATAAACACCAAGATCAATAAAACAGCTACCAACCAGAATCAGCTGACTAAGCTTTGAAAAAAACGCTGATTTAGCTGAAATTGCCTTTTCCATCGAATGGAATCTATTTCGGCAGAAAACCAAGACAAGTTATTCTCTTTTATTTATTTCAATAATAAGTCAAATCTTTTTCTCAAGTAATACTTAAATCGCCCTATGCAACCCTAGATACATCTGGCGGAGACGGTTTCATTGGTTGTAGAGCCTATGCTGGTATATCTTACTCTGACAGTCTTACAACCAATCATTGCCGTCTGGAGGACATTTACGACATCCAGATACGTCACAGATGAGAAGAACCCACTGCTCCTAAATCAACTTATATATATGTTACATTATCAAACCCCGTTTTAACAAAGAAAAGGTACAGTGTTTACACATCACAATAGTTTAAAGTCTTGTTCGAATGTTTAATGCAAACAGTGCCGCTTTCGCCGAGGGGTAATTTTCATGTCACCCGATTGTATTTAGAGTGAAATATGGAGTGCTTGAAACGCAGTAGGAGGGAGAATCAGAATGGGTATCAGCCATCACTAGGAACACCTCGAGACCTGCACGGGCTTATTACAACGTGTTCCGGTAGACCTGGAATCGCCTGAGAGTGGTTACTAGTTGCCAAGTTGTCAGAGATGTTTTCTTTTCGCTTAAGAGTTCGGCTTTTTGTGGAAACCCTTGGTGACGTGCCTCAGAAAGCTGGTCATTAAAATGGTCGGATTGAGAGGTGCGAAATTCTACAGTGGTGTTGGGGAGAAATGAAGCTTAACTGTCTATTTTATTATCTTATTTATAAGCACCATCGAGAGAAGGCTTTATGAAATATTACAACAAAAATTGATAAATTTGTTTTTGGAAGTTTAAACGATTTTTAGTCAAACTGATCACATGTGTTCGCCCATATTCCTTTAATATGTGAATATATAGTACAAACATGCCTCGTAATTTGTTTCAAATTCCCCAAAGACTCCAGAAGTATATTTACTGATCATGATTTTGGTTGAAAATTCATGGAAATATGGTGTTGATGAACTATTCCGGTATTATTGACATAGTTCATTTGTAAAATGGTCACAACTTTTATTTTATTCGGATCCACGAGTGATGGTTTCACTAAAAAAACTTATAACGACTGGCTCTTCCTCAAACTACTCATACAACGTGACATGCGATTCTGAGAAATGTTTTTCTTTCTTTCTTCGTGTCATTAATTAAAAGTTTAGAAATATATAATAGTGACGTTAACGAGTGAAACTAGACAATACAATATTTACTTATGTGATGGATCAGCTGTCGCGTCATATATTATTGCAAGAAGTATAAGCATCCATATAATGCACGTCATAATTTTATTATTCCCTATTTTGTAAACTTTTCTGCTTCGATCATCTCACGTTGACATTACAGAATGCATGTTGCCAAATTGTGGTCGAACGGCTCATCATCATACATTACAAGTTCACCCTTTAATTTTTGTACTATACATGTATGTCAGTGTTTCCGGTGCACCTATATGCCTGCATAAGTTTATTATTTGCAACAGTAGGGCGCATTTAATCTGAATTGGTTTAAACATATTTTATTCAAATCAGAAGAAATGAAAAGGATTGGCAAGCAAGCCTACATGTCTCTATATTAACGCCGCTCCATAATACATGTGAAGGCTGTGAAAATAAAAACACGTAATTTACACATTAGTTTTATTAAATGCTCAATTTCCTTGTAGGTAGAGGTATCCAAATACGCCTTGCTTCTCACCAAATAATCCAATTTCGTTTTGACAATGAATTTTGTTTAAATCACGTTGATAATGCCCGAATTGTGCTATATGCGTCATTTAAGATTTTTCCCTAGTAGGGGGCATTCGTGCACCTATATGTACACGTGAGGTAAACAACAAGTCACAATGTCACATCAACCGTCAGTCAGCGACAGCGCTGAACGTGAACTCAATTTCCAACCGTTACAAACCCACCCGTGTGGTAGCATTGATTTTTAATTTATCTTGTCAAGAAACGACCGAGGGGTTAGACGTATGCACAGTTTTCTTAGCCGCTTGATTTAGAGGGCTAGAAGTTTATCTGCCTGATCAGGGGTGGGGAATGAGGGGAGAGGGAAGGGTGGGTGAGGGAGTGGGGGTAGGGTGCTCTTGACGAGAGGGTATGAGTCGGAGCTTGTCCGAATTATGTTCTTAAAGTTAAACCAATTGTTGTGTTTTATCCCATACCG